GCACGCACCGACAGCCCCGCCGCGTCAGTCAGGGCTGCCACACCGGGAGGGGGGCTCAGAGAGGTTCCACCCCTTCCCCAGAACCACACAGCCCCAACGCGGGGTGGCTGGGTTGTAGACGCTCAGATCCGAGCTCTGCAGACTCCCCAGACCTGACACTCTTAGTCCAGATTGAGTGGGGGGGGAGGGGGGAGGTCCCTCCTAGCATCCGGGCACTTTAGGGAAAAAGTGACCAGAAGCGACCAGAGCCCCCCCCCCCCCAAGGCCAGCAGAGGCCTAGCGGTGGTCTGGAGCCAGCCCTGCCCTGCCTGTGGGGCAGCTTCCCGGATGAGCTGCCCTGTCCCTTTCCTCCTGCCCTGGGGCCCTGGGGGACTGGCGAGGGCCTCAACACTCCTGTGCTGGCTAGCCATGGTGCCGCTGCCAGCCTTTTCCTTCTCTCCTGGACTGAGCACCTCCCCCGGAGACAGACTCCAGCTTCTCCCAGGCTCTGGGCCCTCTCTGACACAGCGCGGTCAGTCTACTACTGCTGAGGCCACAGGTCCCACAGCCCTCATCTCCTACCTCCTGCTGACTCCACACTGATCTCAGAGGAACACCTTGGTGGTGTTGCTTGTATAATAATCCTCATTTTACAGATGAGAACCAAGAAAACCAGAGAGAGCATGTCACTTCCCCAAGGATGCACAGCTAGGAGGTGACAGAGCCAGGATTTGCACCCAGGCAGTCTGATCCCTGGGGTCACACTTTGAACGGCTTCCTTGTTTCTGTTGAGGTGGCTAACACCTGAAGGGCTTTCCGATCTTCTCAGTGTGTTAACTTGCCTGTCCTGTTTTACCTTCCCTGCAGCCCAGAGGGGGGAGCCTGAACAGTTTACGGCTTCCTTTGAACAGATGTGGCTCAGAGCACTGCAGTGAAGAATTAGAGGTCACAGAACATCTTTAGGGGCTTGGCCCCAGGACCCTTTGTTTTGGTTCTCTTCCTCCAGACCCCTGCTGCCTGCAAGAACGAGCACCTGCTGCTGACATGATTCCAAAGCTTAATCACGCAATCCCGCTGTCAGGTGACCTCACAGCTTCACGTGGGGCTCTAAGGGAAGCAGCCACGTTGGGCAGAAGCAGGTGCCACCCGGCCTGTTTCCCACACCTCGGGCCTCCTGGCAAACATCAGATGCCAGACTCCTGCTAGTGTCTCCATGGACAGCATTATTACTGTTAGTGAAGCTGTGTTTGGCTAAAATCTATCTCTAAAACCTCCAAAGGAAATTCACACACCCAGGGGGGCTAATTGCCTCCTAATTCCTATTTGTACAGGCACTGGAGACCTGACCTCACTCTGCAGAGGTGCTGGTCAAAAGCAAGGCTGGGGCCTTGCCCTGGACCAAGGCCATGGGCAACAAATGCTCTGTAACAGCCGTAACGTGCCCGAGTGCGGGAACCAACAGCGACCGGGGCTGGCCCGGGATTTCTGGCAGGCTGGCCGCAGCTGGTTTCCAGCCGAAAACGGAAGGAATGTGGAAACGTGATGGCCTCTGCCTCAGGTCTCAGTGACGGGGAATCACGGGATGGCTGCACATTTTGAGGACTTGGGAAGCCAGAGGGTACATGAATAACGCTGGCCTGTGTGATGCTAGGCAGGGACAGTGGGCCCAGCCCTTCCGTTTCAGAGGGTGAAACCGAGGCCTGGGTTCAAGATGGGGAAGAAAAGGAAGTTGGACTGAAAGTGGGAGGCAAGCCAGGGCAGAATGAAGGTAACTGGTCTTTCTGTGGTACCCCATTTCTAACTATGGGGAGTGGCCCTGTGGACAGTTCAGTTTTGGAGGACTGAGAGCCAAAAGCCCCACCAAATGGGTTGAGGTCATCCACTCTCCCACAGGAGGTCCTGTGGGGAGCTGTTGCTCAGAAGCCCCCATGGATGGAAGGAGGTAAATACTGCCCATAGAGCAGAGGTATGTGGGGGCCTGGCGCCCTCCCTGCCCCAGGCAGGGGCTGCACCACACAGCTCAGCTTTGCTACCTGGAACCGTGAGAGCAGAGCAGACAACCCTGGGGCGGTGTGGAGAGTCCCAGGGCAGCGGCTCTGTAGGTGTGGTGGCTGCTGGGTAGATCTGACTGGGGACTTCAGTCCAGGTAACCTACCTGCTGCCTTGCTTCTGGGACTCCCCACTGGTCATGGAACCCCACTCCCCTTGCCCCAGCCCCTGGGTCCTTCCTGGCCAAGAAATCTGGTTCCCCAAGGCTGTAGCCAAGCCCCTGCCTGGCCTGGGCTCTGATGTCTTTCTTGTCTCATCGGCCCCGCAGCAGGGCGTGGGTGAGGCTGTTGGAGCACAAGCAGGCTGCTGGCCTTAGCAGTGTGGGTGTCCCCCATGGGCAGTGTGGATGACAGTCGGCAGAATGTGGGCAACACAACCAGCTCTCTGCCCAGTACTGGGTCATCTACTTAACCTCTCTGAACCACACCTGTGACAGACGCGCTTGACCATCATGATGATGATGGTGGTGATGATGCTAACAGCTATTGTTGTTCTTTGTTGAGCCCCAAAGGCTGGAACACATCACCCTAAGAGCCATGATTATTATGTTCTTAAGCACGTACTATATGCCAGGCAATGTTTAAAGTTCCCTTTTTTCATGTGCCTCTTTTAGTCCTTTAGAAGAACTCTATGACCTACACCCCCCACCCCCACCATGGTACTGGACTCTGAACTCAGAGCCTTGTTCTTTGTAGTCAGGTGCTCTACCACTTGAGCCTCGCTTCCAGACCTTTTTTGCATTGGATATATTTCAGGGATGGTTTCACCATTTTCCCTGGGGCCAGCTTTCCTTATAACTAAGACCATAGACACACACCAGACTTCCTTATTGATTGAAATGGGGTCTCACTAAATTTTTTTTTGATCCAGGCTGGTCTTGAACCAAGATCCTCCAGATCTCTACCTTCCCAGTACCTAGGATTTCAGGCATGTGCCACCACACCTGGCCTGAATTAACTTTTTGACTCTTCTTATTCTTCATAATACCCCATCAAAGGAGGCTTGTGGTGCCAGAATTACAAAACAATTCTCTAAGTCTCTTGGCAAGCTTGTTTTTTGAGGATGAAGTGGCACACATACCCTGGTCTGGTCAGCTCACAGTAGGCAGTTGGTGGCTGTTGGTGCCCTGAACACTAGCATGACCGCAACCACAGCCCTACCACACCACACGCAGATCCTGGTCACCAGGTCACAGTCATCTGACCTTTGTCAGTGTTCACTGGAGACATGGCGGGCTGACCCTCATTTGGGAACTAGCACCTCATGGTGATTCTGCTGTGTACATGTGTGTGCATGTGTGTGCACATGTGTGTGCATGCATGCATGTGAGTGAAGGAAGACTACTTAAAAACCAGGCAAGGCCTGGGGTGCAAGTCTCACTTTCTGCTTACCACGAAGGAGACACTAAGATTTTGGTTCTCTCCAGGGCTGCACCCAGACTGCACCTAGACTTATGAAGGCCATAAGCTGGGCACCAGCGGCTCACACTTGTAATCCTAGCTACTCAGGAAACTCAGATCTGAGGATTGAGATTCAAAGCCAGCCAACAGGATAGTCTGTGAGACTCTAATTAACCACTCTCTCTAACCACCAAAATGCTAGAAGTGAAGCTGTGGCTCAAGTGGTAGGGAACTAGCCTTTAAATAGAAAAACCTAAGGGATATTGCCAAGGCCTTGAGTTCATGATCCAGAACACACACACACACACACACACACACACACACACACACACACACAGATAAGGGGGAGAGGGAGAAGGAAAGGGAGGGAGGGAGAGGGAGAGGGGGAGGGGGAAGAGAAGAGAAGAGAATTGCTGGGTGCTGTGACTCATGCCTATAATCCTAGGTACTCAGGAGGCTGAGATTTGAAGATCACAGTTCAAAGCCAGCCTGGACAGGAAAGTCTATGAGGCTCTTATCTCCAATTAACTACCAGAAAACTGGAAGCAGAGTGTGGTTCCATGTGAAGGAGGGCTATAGTGCCTGGAGCAAAAAGAGGTCAGGGACAGCCCAGTCCCTGGGTTCAAATACCATGACCAACAAAAAAGAAAGAAAGAAAGAAAGAAGAAACTGAAGGTTGCCACAGCTCTGCTGCCTAGACAGGTATTTACCTGCCCAGGGTCAGGTGTACACCTGTTTTTCTGGGCCTCTTTGGGGGCGTTTGCACTTGTCTGACTCACACAGGTTCTTAATAAATCTGACCTTGGTATTGATCTTTGATTTCACAAGATCCCTTTGCCAAACTGAAAAACAGGAAACAGTGCACCTGGGGGGTGGGCGTGGGGGTATGAGGAGCCCCTTAGGCCACCCCTGCTCCCCACATGCTGAAGAGCAGATGCTGCTGACAACCACACCAGCGTCCAGAGCTGCATTCCAGGCAGGCAGGACAGGCTGGGGCGGGCAGGGCGGCAGGGCGGAAAGCATGGAAAGCACTACGGAATGTGGAATGTCATGCCGAGTGCTCCAGCAGCCTCCAGAGGCCAGGGTGGGGAGGACCTCTGAGTTGAGTGAGGAGCTGAGGCTGGCTGGCCAAGGCCCTGCCAGGTGACCGGAAGCTGCTGAGCACCTAGCTTTAACCCTTTGCTGGGCAGCCCTCAGAAAGCTAATCACACGTGCAGGCAGCCTCTGTAGCCAGTGGGACTGCCCGAGTCTCCAGTTTCATGCTCTCTGTTATCATTCTCCTCCCCTCTCCCCAGCCTCTCTTCTCTCCTCCTTGAAGACTGGAAACGGAGCACCTCACCTGGGGTACACGAGCGGGATTTAGGGTGAAGTTTTCTATTCATTGTAGATTCTCAATGTTACACCTGCGCATCAATCAGCTCTCCTCCCCCACCCTCTCCCTTTCTCTCTCCCACACAGGGCTTCCTGCTTTAGCACGTGAGCCGCTCCTCATCCTTCTGCACTTAGATTGTTTTTCAGATAGAGTCTCCAGATAACATTCCCTGGGGTGTGCTTTGGACTGCGATCCTCTTTTTATCTCTGATTCCCAAGTAGCTGGGAATACAGGCAAGAGCCACCACAACTGGCTGTTTAGAATGAATTTGTCGTAACTTAAAAAACTAAAACAATACAAAGGTGTCTAAAATCGAGAAGAAAAGCTTTGAAGGGCTGGTGGGGTATCTAATTCCTCATCTTAAGAGCCCAGGGAAGGGCTTGCTATGGGATAGGGCTCTGGACTACTTGGGCCTCAGCTTTCTGTCCTATCTGTGGGGACCAGGGTCCACCTGGCCACCCACAGCCTGGTGCCCTGTGTTGAGGTCACCTGGGAAACAGACCTCACGAAGTCCTGCCCCTTTAAGAGTGCATCTTCCTCTTTCCCCTGGGATATCTTTCTCCACTCCAAGTGCTACTGCTTTTAGCCCCTGGCTCTTAGGTAGGGGACACAGGGAGAAGATTTGCAGCATTTGCCAGTTTTCATGGTGTCAGAATTCATGGTGTCAGAGTTATGCTTGCATGCCCGGGTAGATGCCAGCTCCTTTACACTTCTGCTCCAGCCCATACTAGTCTCTTTCCAACAGGATCCTGTGAGGCTCAACTCTGCACGCCCTGCATGCCTGCGTGCATGAATTCACGCACATGTGAGTGCATACATGCATGGACATGCGGGTGCCTCTTCCCAGCTACCAAATTGCTCTGGGAGATGTCAGCATCTCCCACCTGTCTCTAAGTACCAGGCGCCCCATTAGGATTCAGCGCTTGCTTGCTATCTGTCCCTTGAGTACAATTCCCGTAGCTGGGACATTGAGATCTTATAAGCCAGGCGACCTTGGATGAGCCCCTCCATCTCTCTGTGCCTCAGGCTTCCTCATCTGCAAATTGGGTATCGCAATGCATCTGTGTCACAGAGTCGACAAAGCTTACTGTGCAAAGTGCCGGCAAAAGCTTGGCATGGGCGTGCCGCCATTTTAATGGCGATGGTTACCGATGGTGGTTGCATGCTTGCCCATAGCCACTGGACAGGTGTCCTCTACATGGACCCCTCCTGAGCCTTCCTGGCCCCGGGATGGACTTGGAGCAGGACTATCCTGGCCCTCCCCATCCCCACCACTGGATTGCTGCGCTGCGGGGCTGTAGTGGCTGGGCCCGGGCTGACCTGTAGTTGCCCTTCTTGGAGGCGATGTGAAGTGGGAGTAGACCATCCTTGTTGGCCCTGTTGGCGTCAGCGCCCTGGGACAGCAGGAACTCTGCCACATCTTCGTGCTCATTTTTGCAGGCCTCGTAGAGCGCAGATGCGCTGTCACTGGCCTGCGTATTAATGTCAGCACCTAGGGTCAGAGAATCAGAGTGGTAAAAGATGGGCAGCCCTGCCTTGATGTATGCCTTCCCATGCTTAGCAGTCTAAGCTAACCCCCATGGTCCCCTAGAAAGCAGGAGTCAATTCTAGGGCCACCCCAGATTCCTCAGGAGACTTTGAGACCCAGAGCCCTGCCAGCCTGAGCACAGGTATCTTAGAGACCAACAACAACTGCATGCAATGACGCCGGCTTTTTACTGAGCACTTACTATGTGCTGGGTGCCTAGCTGCTCCTATCTCTGAATCTATAACCCTGGGACTTTCATGCTGCTCCCAGCTCCAGAGAACCCAGATAATGTGTTTCAGTCCTCCTAGTTCACACATACTGGCCCAAACGCAGCCAGTCTGAGGGTAGAGGCCACACTCCTAGGCCTTCCTCTGTGTAAGACACCCAGGCTCTGCTCCAGGAGCAGCCTCCTAGCCCACAGTGAGCTCCTGATGAGAAGAAGCTCCTCATAAATGAAGCTCCCAATCTTTTTATCAGTTGGGATTTGCTGCTTTTTCTGCCAGAAGTGAGATTACCTCCACCCCCTTGGGGGCAAGCCCTGAGCTGTGCGGGTAGGAAGGGGAACTGAGCCTGCCCATATTCTGCCTTCTGCTCAATCTCCTGCACCTTCTGCAGGGTGAGAAGCATCTGCATGTGGTTCTTCTGCAGAGGGGCCCGCAGGAGCCCAGATAGTTGAGCCAGTGCCTGGCTCCAGATAACCTCTAGAAGCCTCAGTTTACCCATCTGTTCACCAGAAGCCAAAATCCCTTGTTGCTAGGTGTATGTATGGCATTGTAAGCAAATCTCTCAACACAATATCACAGTGGCAATGCCCAGCCAATGCCAGCTGTCTAGGAGATGGCCCTGGGCACAGGCTGGTCATGCCTGACCTGTTAAAGAAGAGCCACCAGCTAGGTGCTGGTAGCTCACTTCTATAATCCTAGCTACTCGGGAGTCTAAGATCTGAGGACCATGGTTCAAAGCCAGCCTGGGCAGGAAAGTCCCTTAGACTCTTATCTCCAATAAACCACTAGAAAACCAGAAGTGGCACTGTGGCTTAACATGGAAGAGAGCTAGCCTTGAGCAAAGGAATGCAGGGACAGTGCCCAGGCAAAGAGGAGGAGGAGGAGGAGGAGG